GCCAGGTCACTGGGGGATTGACTGTGCCACTTGCCAGAGAGGGAGTGGCCCAGTCCCCAACCTACCGCCATTGGCTTTGCAGCCATCTCTACTGGAGCTTCTTGGCTTTGCCCAGGAGGAGGACTGATGATGCCCAGGGTCTGAGGCCCACACAGAGATCACAACATGTGAGCCCAGGGTAACACCTTGTAGCAGGTAAGCCGATCTCTTTTGTCATTGATACAGGGGCCACTTACTTTAACCTTCCTAAGTATGCAGGACCAACAACCCCATCCTCTATCCCAATAGTAGGGGTCACAGGACCAGAATACCACCCATGGATCACTCAACACCTTTTCTACACCCTGCAACACACCCAATTCACACACAAATTTTTAATAATGCCTCAATGCCCAACCCCCTTACTGGGATGGGACATTCTTTTCAAATTCAAAGCCACTCTTACCCTAAACATTTTAACTCCAGCTACAATACTCCTGTTACAGGCTGCACCCAGACCTAGCCCCTGAGACTTCCACCTTCCCCTCCCCCTCATACGAAGTTAATCCCCAGTATGGGACGCTTCTTCTCCCTCCGTTGCTATGCACCATTCCCCTATTCTTGTTAAACTGCAGAACCCCTCTTTGTTCCCCAATGTCCCACAATACCCCATCGCTAAAAAACACCTAATAGGATTAAAACCCATCATACACAAACTCCTTCTCATCTCTCATGGCCTACCCACTCACCTTTTAATATACCCATCCTTCTGGTTATAAAGTCTAACGGATCATACCATTTAGTACAGGACTGATCCTGACGCCCCTTATTCCCAACTTACTTGGACAGTACTACTTCAGGGGTCTCAGGATAGCCCCCACTTTCTGGCCAGGCCTCAGCTCAAGACTTATCTGAACTTTCCCTAACCTCTAGCACTTTAATATGATACGTGGATGACCTCCTCCTTTGTAGCCCCTCATATGAGGATTCACAGGCCCACACTGCTGCTCTCCTTAATTTCCTGGCCTCCAGGGGATATCAAGTGTCCCCAGCAAGGCCCAAATTTCTTCTCCTTCAGTTGAAGAGTCTAATTTCTGAATTCCCTACTCCTACCACAAAGGGTGAAATCCTTTCTTTCTTGGGACTTGCAGGGTATCTTCGCCTATGGATTCCTCACTTTGGCATGCTAGCAAAGCTAATTTATGGGACAGCCAAAGGGGATCCTGCCATTCTCTTAGATCTCACAAAGCCCATTCATTCTCCCTTCCAGCAATTAAAATCTGCTCCCTCGCAGCCCCAGCTGTATCTCTCTCAAACCTATCTCATCCTTTTATCCTATACATCACCAAAACCCAAAGATTGGCAGTCGGGGTTTTGGGACAAAGGGCAGGAGATATCTTCTCCCTGGGTACAGACCTCTCTAAACAACTAGACAGTACATCTTGAGAATGGGCCCCTGTTTATGGGCCTTGGAAGCAGCCATCCTTTTAGCACAAGAAAGCTCTTTTAAACAACAAACAGTCAAGACCTCCTCAGCCATAAGGCCAAGTCAATTCTCTCTCCTTCCCACCTACAACTTATTCACCTTACTTTTGTTGAAAACTCCCAGTTCTCCTTTAAACCTTGTCCTCCCTTAAAATCCAGCCACTCCCATCCCAATACACTCATGACCCTTAAAACATAATTGCAGGGAGGCTTTAGACCTCTTTCTCAATCCCTTCCCACACATATCCCTGCATCCCATTACAGGGTCCATAGATGGGAGAGCCACTTCCACACCCACCCCCTGGGCAGGTTATGCCATAGTAAATCTAACATAAGCTATTGAAGCTGCACAACTCCCAAAGGAGGCTGGGGTTATACACTGCAGCGGACACCAAACCTCCAGTGACCCCATAGCCCAGGAAAACAAACTGGTGGATCTAACCACAAAACAGGCTGCTCAGTCACCAGGCCCCCACTCTTCCTCTCCTGCTCAGGTCCTTCTCATGGCCCCTATGCCCTTATCCCAACACATATTCCAAGAAATACAACACCTCCAACAGTTGGGGGCACAGAGAAAGGACAACTGGTACACTCTCTCCAGTTGCTATGTCCTCCCTACCACACAAGCTGAGCAAATCCTTTTAGGTTTCCATAATTCAGCTCATATAGGCCATGAACTCCTACTACACCTTCCTTCTGCCCTTACGTTACTCTCCCCACAAAAGGACGCGCTATCTTCTAGCCTTAGTAGATAACTTTTCAGGTTGGATGAGGCTTTTCCCTGCACTTCAGAGGATGCTACAGCCGTCACGCATGCTCTCACCTCAGAAATCATCCCTCATTTTGGCCTCCCCACCAGTCACTCACGCGCCGACGGGCTGCCCCCCGCAAGCGCACAGGTCTCAGCCCTCTGGAACTTATGTATGGCAGACCCTTCACTCTCACACCTCTCCCTTCCAGCTCATCGCCTTTAGGCCAGCATCTCCCTACTATTTCACTCATTAGGTATCTTCTTAGGGAACAGGCCAACCTTCTATTACCTCATCCTTTCCCCACCACACTCTCAGACTGTAAACTGAGCCCAGGACAGCAAGTGTATATTAAGATCCATATCCCAAAGCCCCTCTCACCATTCAGGGAAGGGCCTTATACACTACTTCTCACCACCCCCGTGGCAGTAAAAGTACTAGGAAAGGCCCCCTTCGTATCACTTATCCTTGGTAAAACTAGCACCTGAGACTTTACCCAAAAATCTGCTAACAACAAGCCAGAGGAGTCCCTCTACTCAACCCCCAGTCCCATATCTCCTCATGCTTTGTCCACTTTAGGACCCACAAAACTGAAAATCTCCAGGACCTCTGCTCTTCCCCCAATCCCCCAAAAAGGATGATCTTTGCCTCAGCGTTTTTCCTCTCACTCTTGCAGGCCTGCTTCACGTCCTTCACACCACAGCTACTATTACACTATCTGTTCTAGTACTTGCTACAGGACTTGCCAGTGCTGCGCCAAAACATTGGAACATTATGTGGGAAGATTTCTCCTGGCACTCCTTTACCTCCCTCCTATCTGTAGGATTCCTCTTAGCAATTTCATTGTGGCGATGTCCCCTATAAATTCTTTTGGCTCCCTAACCCTTTGCATCCTTCCCATATTTTTCCTTATATCTCAGTGCTTGCCCTTATCTGGAACATGGAGTTTCCAGGTCTGCAGGGACGATGCAGTCCTCAATGAATTACACTGGTCCCCGAGCGACTCATCTGTCTCCCACTTTACAAGAAACTTTTTGTGGTCACCCCCCCTCCCTGTTGATGCAGCCCACAACGTTTCCACAAAAGTCTCTTCACTTTCCTCTAATCCCACCTCAGTGGGGACTGTCAGCATTATGCGGGACCTGCCCACACTCTGCCTCACTAACACCAGATGCTGCCACTCACTTACCCCCTCCTCATCCATGCCCTAAAACAGGAATATATTTCCTTTATAAAACTGTGTTATCCTGTTGCCTGCCTCCCCCCCCCCACGCCCCACAACATGATTTCTTGCATAATCTTTTGGCTTGTCCCTGACATCACCCTCCAGACAGCTGTAGGGATGGAGACGGGACTGGGACTAACTTCGCCCACTCCCCCGTCCGGAACTGCCCCTGCTTCCATAGGGCACTAATTGTACCTTCTAATTGGGGCAGGGATCCTTTCTGCTACTGGACCTGGCATAGTGAGCCCTGCTACTGCCTCTCAATTCTATCAGAAATTCTCAGGACTAAACATAGATAACATCTCCTCCCTCCAGTGACAGGTCACCTCACTCGTGACAATCACTTTACAGAACCGTCTGGCCCTTTACTTCCTTTAAGCTGAGGAGGAAGGCACCTGCCTCTTCTTGGGGGAGGAATGCTGTTATTATGTAAATGAGTCTGGGGTGATCAAAAACAACTTATACCATTTCACTGAATCCTGGGATACCCTGGCTTATACCCCTGCTAGGACCCCTAACTGTGCCTCATCCTACTTTTTGGCCTCTGTCTCTTTTGCTGTTTCTCTAATTTTTTTGCAGGAACGTGTGCAGTCTTTTGCCAACCAACAGGTCACCAAATTGTTCCTGCGAGGAGCATATCAGCCCCTCAGAATCAGCGACCCTTCCCCAGAGGAATACAGCCTCCCCACATGAAACCAATACCCCGCCACGTAATTGTTTTATTTTTTCCACATCTTCACCCATCTCCAGCAGGAAGTAGCTTCAGAAGAATGAGTCCTCTGCCCCTTTCCCCTTTTTCCTATACTTAAAAGGCAGGAATAATAAATCTGCAACATAACCGTTCCCAGTTCAGACAAGCCCAAGTACAAAATGGCACCGCCCACCTCCTCCCCTCCCCTCACCCCTTCCCTTTACGAGAAGCCTCCTGACTTAAACAGAAACCCCTTTTGCTTCTGCAAGGATGCTGTTCTCCACCCCATACACATTAGCATAGTGACCCTCCTTGATGGTATCAGGCAGCCCTTGGCACACTATATAAGCTGCTGTACCCTATCCAGGGCAGCCCTGGGCTGCCTGCTTCTTTGAGCGCAGCCCAGCAGATTTCTTTCTTTAATAAAGCTTGAACGGTACGAGGCATCTCGGCTCACTTTCTTTCATGCTCCATAACCAAGTCACCATTTTGAGTGTGTGTAGCCACTTCTTCAAAGAGAGGTACCTGTGCCTCACATATGCCAGAAAGCACCATTTTCAGGTAATCTCTGGCAGTGTATCTGAGGGACTTGTTGGAAGACATGAATTCTACACAATGAAAATCAAGACTGAGGAATATCAGTGACAGGAATCAAAAAACCTAAAGACATTTTGGAAAACATTCTGGACTAATCCACACAGTGAAAACAAAGACTGAGGAGTATCAGTGACAGGAATCAAAACCAATATTTCTTCATTCAGGAGAGTGTCTTCCTGGTACAGGGTTTCCTTCTTCAAGTGTTCAAAAGACAAATGTACCTTCAAACCTTTGAGATAACCGTGTGATTATTAAGATTTTTTTCATTCTACAGATTCCATCATGAACTCTTTGGGACCATGAATTCTGTTGACACTCACATCGTGGAATTACGTTATCCAATGTGAAGCCTGAGCGCCATGGGATAGGTGTCATCAAAGCACCAAATGAGCAAGGTAAAAAAAACACGTTAATGAATATGGTGATTCAGGCAAGTCCTGACTTATGCAGACCAGGTAAGGGATCTTTAAAGACCAGGTATTTGGCAGGTGAAGGCGAATCGGTGATACACAAGTGTTGTACACAGGTGGAGAAAGATGAGTAGAAAAAACAATAGAATAAGCTCAATGCAACGTATCACCAACCTTCCATGCAACGTATCACCAACTTTCCAGGCAGTGATCTGAGATGGACACAGGCTGAATGATGACTCTGCCATGAGCTGACTAAACAGAGAATCCCACAGCAGGGAGGACTGTCCACTCCTCCCACACAGCTCCCTGTGTGCACAGCCTGCAGCACTCTGCTGGGCAGCACCAGGGTTGTGTCCAGGAACCATGTGTGCAGAGCCTGCAAAGCCATGGGCTACACTGCACTTCCATGGACACCCACAAAGTCAAGACTTTCTTTGATGGTCAGTAATCATGGAGTATCAGGGTTGTGTCCAGGAGCCATGTATACAGATCCTACAAAGCCATGGGCTACACAGTGCACTTCCATGGACACCCACAAAGTCAAGACTTTCTTTGATGGTCAGTAATCATGGAGTATATTCTCCACGCCATATTCATAGCTTCAGTGAGTAATTGAGTTCCTGTGCCTAAGAGACCCGGAGTGAGAGAAACAGCAGAAGTGGACTACATTTATCATTTCTGAGATCAGCATAGCAGTTATTTAGGTGCTGCTATTTGAGTATTTGTAATTCAAGAATACTTCTCAACTCTCCAGGCTCACACCTCAGTCCTTGAGACATTAAAATTCCACATCTTAATGCATGAAGAGTTATTCCACTCATTTAATTTCAACTGTAGTTACTGTAGTACTTAATTGTGTTGTTAAACTCCTTTTTTTCCTCTTAGTTTCATTACGTACTTTCTAATCTACCATGACAGGTACTGTGAAAATCATCCCTCTCTAAACTATAGATCAAAAGAAAAAAAAATGAAAACAGGCAGAGCAGCATGCTATAAATGAGCCACAGGAAGATCTGGATGAGGAATGCCCTCTTTCAGTGTGGCAAGTTAGGATCAGTGAGCTCTGAGTGCCCAAGTTGAAGAGAGGGCAAGTGGTAGACACAAAACTCCATGAACATGACGTCACAGGCACAGAGGACACAGTGCTGAGCACCAAGTCTACAAGCAGTATCTATAATAGCATAGGCATTATATTTTCCCATAATTTTCTAAACTACCAGATTATACGGGCTGGCCTAGCCACCACAATCTTCAGCAAGATGACACTGCAAACAGATCAAATTCTTGCACCCCATTATGAGTCAAGAACCCAACACCTTGTCTCCATTCTCTTCCCTATAAGAAGTTAGAGTTTAATGGATGTATGTCTCATATATTTGAGGTCATGACTTCACGTTAACTTAATTTAGCCTTCCCGGAGCTTAAAATTGTAAGTGAAATTTCACTCAACATCCTAAATCATTAATTATATGAGTTCTTTCTCATTCAGTGTATTCATGAGAGAACACCAAAACTCATTCCAATAACCAAGTACGCAAAAGTAGAGTTGGCCGTAGTAGCAAGGGGGCATAACAAAAACTTTTATGTAGACTCTACCTCCATGGTGACTAACCATAAAGGGATTTGTGTGAACACCGTCTATGGGATTAAAATGAAGAATGGGAAAGAATAAGAGATACATACAAGTGGTGTAGACTGAGGATTTGAACTTGCAATGATGTGCACAGGGAGCACTTCTCATATTTCTAAAATTAGGGCAGAAATTCTCAAAATCTAGCTTTTTCTAAGTGTTTACAAAGCTACCAGTTCAGTGCAACTTTCAAGTAACGCTTCACAAGTTCTTTTCCCTCCTAAATGGATTTATTGAACCATAATTTATAAAATAATTCTCCACAAATAAAATAGGAATTCTAGTAGTCCACTAATGACTAATATCTCTAATACCTAGGTAGAATGAAATTGGACTTTCTTAATTTTGTGAAAATATATTTAAGCATGTTACCACAATACTATGTCAGAAAACAGCAGATGAGCCACCATGGTTTAACACCTAGAAGTGGCAGCCACAGAGAAAAACAGTATATTACGTGCATCCTACAGTGCACATTTTCACATTTTTCAAATAAAATGCATCTTAAATTTGATAGTGTCAAGACCCTGTTATCCAACAGGCATTCACAATGTGGTTGTACTTATGTACTCACACATGAACTTGTTCTAAACACGTTCCACTGACATCCTTGGGTAATGTCATCAGCATCTGAACTTGCAGAGGGGGTGTCAGAGGTGGACGAGATCATCTCACAGGGAGTAGCAGAGGAATCCAAGAAATACAGCATCACTAATGCTTCTGTCAGCACAGATGACGATAATGTAGGGAAAGTCATGGACAAGATGAGTTGAAAGTGATTCAGAAGTGCTTTATCTGAGTGAGAGAAATTTTAGGAGTACCTTTGTTTATATATTTTGTTTTTTATTTTCCATCTCATATAATCATAGTAGTGATATAAGGTAAATATCCACATGCATATATGTTAGAAATAGTTATTTTTAATAATTATGAGATAAAAATTCTAAGTGATAAGAAGTATTTGTGTCATAGTTTGCCAATGATTTTATTCTTCAGTTGTTACATAAAGTAATGATGTACTTTACAATTAATGCAAATGATCCATTTTGCAGTTGCTTAGGAAAAGCTGGCAGTATTAGCAAGTACTGACTTAGTGTTTAATATAGACCTACTATTAGTCCATAGACTTTATGCATTATTAGTTCATTTAATACTCATAACATCTCAAGAGGTGGGCACTATCACCATCCCATGGTCCAGTTCTGAATCTGAGCTAAAGCCCTGCTAGAAAGGTACAGAAGAACCTTGAGCCTGACTTAGTCTGTCTCCAGAGTCCTTGCTCACATCAACTGAGTTAGAGTATCTTTTCTCCTATATGGTAAATACCTTTGATGTTTAGTTTAAGAATTTTTACCCTGTACCATGATCATAAAATTATGTTCCTAAATTAGGTTATAAATATAAAAAATATACTTCTAGGTATATGATTTGCCTTTTATTGCTTTTGTGTGTAATGTGAGTTTAAAGGTAGATTTATTTCCTGTGATGGCTTTTCAACATCCTGGAATGTTTTTTGAAAGTTCACCTTTTCTTCAATAATCTTTCTTGTGAATACTTTCCATATAAATGCATGTGTCAGTTTCTGAGCTCTCTTTTCCTTTTTTTCATTGATTTATTTCTCTATCTCAGTGCAAATACCACACATTATGAAGAGTTAGTTTAACATAAGAATTTCCCCTCCAAGCCTGTTCTCTTAACCACTGTGCTGTACTGTAATGAGGACAGTGAAGAGGACCTGCATGCCAGCTCAGGGACCTTGGATGCTCCTGCTCATCTCCATTTCTCTGTTGCTCGGACCCCACATTCCACCCTGAGAGCAGGTTTCTATCCCCTCAGTCATTGCAGATGTAAGTGGGATTCATGTAACAGAAAATTCAGAGAGGCAGGATGATATCTTCGTGGAGTCCTCACATGGGAGGCTGAGAGCAGCCTAACAGGAAACTTCAGATATGGGAGTCCACAGCTACTCAGGGAAGGGACCAAAGGCCAGAGGCACAGGTGAGGCAGACGAGGGGGGAGCCAGGTACTGTTTGGGGTATGGGGTTTTCCTTCCTACTTTTGGATATTCCTGTGTCTGCGGAACTATTAAGCTATCAAAATTCATTAGAAAAATAAAATTCTGTTGCTTTAACTTTTACTTTATTTACTCTCTTTCCAATATCATGTATTTTTTTCTACGTACATTGGATTTAATTTGCTCGTCATTTTATAAATTCCAAAGGTGGAAATTTAGACTAGTGATTTTAGATCTTGTCTTTTCTAAGGTATGCATTTAATACTATGCATTTCCCTCTAAGATCTGCTTTCATTGCATCCCACAAAATTTTATGTTATATTTTCATTTTCATTTACTTCAAAACTCTTGTCATTTAGAAGTGTGTTGTTTATTCCTCATGCATTTTGGGATTTTCATGTTATCAATCTAGTTATCCTTTGATTTCTAGTTTAACTTCATTGTGGTCTGAGATGAAACACATTATCATTTTCATTATTTAAAATTTGTTAAGGTATGTTTTATGGCCTGGAATTTGGTCTATCATGGTGAATTTTCCATGTGCGTTTAGAAAGAATGTGTTATCTGTAGTAATGGATGAAGTGGTCTGTAGATGTCAATCACATCCAGTTGACTGATGGTAGATTTTAGTTCAGCTGTGTCCTTACTGATTTCCCTTCTGCTGTGTCTGTTTCTAACAGAGGGTATTAAAATATCCAGCAATAATAGTGGATTCATCTTTTTTTCCTTTTAGTTCTGTTTGTTTCTGTCTTAGTCTGATGCTCTGTTGTTAGGAGCATACACTTTAAGTATTCTTATAACTTGCTGAACAACTGATGACTTTATCTTTATGTAATGCCTGTCTGCATTCCTAATAACTTTAAGTCCACTCTGTCTGAATTTAATATAGCTACTCTTACATGCTTTGATTAGTGTTACCAATATGTATTTTGTTCCATCCATTTATTTTTATTTATATGTGTCTTTATATTTAAAGTAGGATTCTTGTAGACAGTGTATACTTGGGTCTTGTTTTATGATCCACTCTATTTTGATATATTTGGAACGTTGACAGTGAAGTGATTACTGATATAGTTGGGTTAATATTGAGCATATTTATTACTTTGTTTGTTGCCCTTGTTCTTTTTTCCTGTTTTTGTCTCATACTCATCTTCAGACTGTTTTTGATTTTAATTGAGCATTTTATAAGATTTCATTTTCTTTCCTTTCTTAGCATATCAGTTATATTGTTTTTTTACTTTTTTATGGTTTAAGAATTTTTTATATTCTTAATTTATTGTAACAAGGTAACATTTTCTTGAAAATGGTAAGAGCAACAACTGTTTGATTATGTATGCTTATGTATTGTGTTAGTCTGTTTCTGTTGCTTGTAAGAAATACATGGAACTGGGTAATTTATAATGAAAATGAAATTTAATGCTTACAGTTTCAGTGGCTGGAAGCACAAAGTCCAGGAAACACCTCTGGTGAAGACCTCAGTGGTGTTGACAGTGACACAGGAGTCTCACATAGCGAAAAATGGCAGAGCAGAGAGAGACTAACCTCTCATGTGCTCTTCTTTTGAAGCCCTCAGATCCACACTCTAACACCATTATTAATCCATAATGGCATAGATGGTCTATGGCATGGGCCTACAATCTAATCAACTCTTCAATGTCCCACCTTTCATTTACCATAGCAGGATTTCCCACCCTCTTGACCTTTACAGTAGGGATTTAAACTTCTATGAGGTTGGGAGGAGCATTCAATCTACAGCATGTGTATATGCTGTACCTGGGAAGCAATATGGTGTTATGTGAAAAGAGGCTTGGATTCATTTAAAATGCAATATTACAAACTCCAGGGCAGATGTTATACAAAAATCCCTGGATCCTTGCTGGCTATTGACAATAAGCTGAATTAAGCTTCTTGCCAAGTGGGCTTCTTGGACATAACAAAATACTTCATAAAATCCACCAAAGGAGAGAATTTGATAGTAAGAGAGAAATCACAGTCATAATATAATTTGTTGTGTGTTTTAATCATAAATGTGTTTTGCATTTGTCAAGTGCTTATTCTGCATCTTCTGGGATGATCATGTAGTTTTTCTCCATTTTTCCATTAATATAGTGCATCACACTAATTGTGTTTCTATGCTGAACCAAACTTGTATTCCTTAGAAAACTAAGTTTGGTCATAGTATATAATATTTTTATATGTTGCTGATTTGTTCTGCTAGTATTTTCTCCAGGATTTGAGGATTTTTCCTCTGTATTTATAAGGCATATACATCTATAATTTTCCTTTTTTGAGAAGTCTTTATCTAGTTTTGATATCAGAGTAAACTGCCTCATAGAATGCATTGTGACGTGATCTCTTCTCCGCTGTTTTTTGTTTGTTTTTTGAGTGACTTATAATGGATCAATATCAATTTTTTTAAAGGTTTGGAACAGTTCATCAGTGAAGTATTCTTGATCTAGACAGGGACTGGAATCCTAATAACAATCATGTGAAGTTGGAAGGAGAGCCTCCACACCTGAGCCTTCACTTGAGACCTCAGCTGTGGCCATCATCTACATGTGGATTTCTGACCCCAAAAAACTGTGAGTAATGTGTGCATGGATTAGAGCCATTAAGCTATGTGGCAATTTATTATGAAGCAATAAGTAGGTAATATACCAGCAAGTAAATGTAAATCTGCTATCCTGGATTAGATCCTGGAACATAAAAAGATATTATTATAAAACCTAGTAAACTATGCAGAAAGGATATAGTTTAGTTAATAGTTTTGTGCCACTATTAATTTCATAGATTTCATAAATATTCTAAGGTTATATGTTAACTTTCCAGGATATGGAAAGATATATGAAACTCTCTGCATTATCTGCACAACTTCCTGTAAATCTAAAATTATTTCAAAACAAAAATGTTGGGTCGGCCCGGTGGCGCACTGCTACAGTGCGCCGCTTGGGAAGCGCGGAGGCGCTCCCGCCGAGGGTTCGGATCCCACATACAGACCGGCCGCTCACTGGC